GAATTTAAATGTTTAAGCATAATTTCCACAGATTTCCTTCCTGGGTGTAGACTAAACAACAATCCAAAAGGCTTTTTGTTTAATCTATCTGCACATCCATCAAGAAATTCTGATAATGCAAAATAATCAAATCTCCAGGAACCAAAGAAGCAAAGTTTTCGCAAATTTTTTGGTATATTTTCTCCGAAAGACATGAATTTTTGTGATATATCCGAATATTCCAAATGATCACATTTAGTATTTACAAGATTTCGTATATTATCCGTATAAAATTTTGCTTCTTGTAATAAGACACATGCAAGAAAAATATTTAAAATATGATTACCCTTGGAATTCGGAATGGTTATCTCCAAATGTGTTATATTTACACAAGAATCAATGATCGTGTTAATAATGCTACTTTTAGGATCATTATTTGTATTAGTTGATGATGATGATGATGATGATGATGATGATAAGTATACTTCATAGAAATCAACTGGATAATATTGCCAGACTATTGTAACATTTCGTAAAGTATCATAAGTATTTGAATTTGTAATCAATCTCGAAATTTGACTAAATGTATCAGATGTTGGATGGATTGCAATTTTTAAATCAAGAGTTTTCAATTTCGTTAAAGAGGATTCAACAAAATCTTCCAAGACATGATGATCCATAGATTTATAAAGATGCAATTTCAAGACTTGTAAATTTGTACATCCCGAAAATATTCCAAGTGAAAAATAATCGTATGTTAAATAAACCCTTGATAAGATGTGTACATATTTAAGTGATTCTACTTTTTCTCCAAGTGCTTCTTCAAGATATTCCCACGATTGAAGACTTCCATTAAATTCAAGAGAAATCTTTTGTAAATTATCTTGAACTCGAATTAATGTCGCAATAGCTTCATCATTCTTATGACAATCAACAATGTGCAAGTCTTCAATTTTGTGAGCCACTTGTGCCATCTCAAAGAAGAACCCGGATGTAATACTTTCTAAACAAAAAAATAGTATTTAGAGTACACAAAAAATATATAATAGAGTCATAATTACTGGCAATTATTAGTTAAAAAATTCACAAATGGTAGGCATGATGTATTTTGATTACCATCAGATTCAAACTTTTCGATACGTGAGAAGAAAGAGTTTTCACTACAAATATACGATTGTAATGGTACCATCATTCGACTTCGAAATGGAAGATGAATCTTGTTAACATCTATAAGTGAAAGATGCTTAATTTTTTCCGCACTAATTACAAACTGCTTGCAAACTTTCTCGAGTATTACATAATGAAAACAATCTATCATGCTGCTATCATTGTCTAGAGAAATTAGTAATTCTCTAAAGATATCAGAGAAATATAAGTAATTTATATTGTATAAGAATGATTCGTATTTAAATGTTGACTTTGTTATGATACATTCAGGTAGTTCAATTCCAACAGATTTAAGTGAATTTTTTGCTTCATCACTTAAACACCATAAATACGTTCTCGCAAGCTGCGCCTTTCTCTCTTTATCATCAAGAGTATCGGTATTGTTATATACAAGAGAAAATGGTTCCTTATAAAGAATCGGAATAACGTTTGCGCACCAAGTTTTATTGACTAAAGCAAGTTTCCAGATTGTTGACACATGAAATCTTTTGAGAATTTGCTGATAAATTTCTGTTGGGATCAGAGGGATCATGCCCGCCACTAGATTTAAAATCAAAGTTAAATGCTAATAACTTTGTAATAAGGATTATTTCATGTACGAATTGTACTGCGAGACAAAGCGTTTAATTACGGTTTACGGCATGTGTAAAAAATATTATTATAGTGAAAATTATGTCTATTATAAAAAGAATTCTAAATTTTATAATCTATCTTTCATCTCAAACTAATTTACAAATACTTTTGTACTTTCTTATAAATTATTCCCAAAGAATTAATATAGGAATCACCACTTCCAAAAATTCCAATTATTTCGTGATCTTTAGGCATATACAAATAATGCATCGATCCACCAAATCCACCAATCCATCCACTGCTCTTTTTATTAGTTTTAATTTCAATTCCATCAATGAACCATCCGGCTCTAATATTTAATCCTACAATTTTCTCATCTTCATCTAATGTAAACTTATGCTCATTACCTCC